CCGTCCCAAAGGCTCCTCCCGTCTCAGGGGGGCCGGGCGGGAGGCCCCCCCCCTCTCTCTCTGCGCCTGTCCCCCAGTATCGCAGCCCTGGGGACCCTGGCTCCGCTGGGAGCGGTCGGGTGGCCGGGGGGGGGCACAGGGAGCCAGGCGCCCCAGGAGGGAGGCCGGAGGAGCCTGCGGAGGAGGCCGGCGGGCGGACAGCCTCTAGACCAGAGGGCGAGGGAGGGGTGCGCAGACCCCCCGCTGTCCTCCCCGCGTGTTCAGAAAGGGTGCCCGCCTGCAGGCGGCGGCGACCGCCTTGTGCCTCCCACCCCAGTGGCCCCCCGCCCACTCCAGCGCCCTCCGGGCCTTCTGGCACTGGGGGGGGGAGGGAGGGAGGAGGGCCGGACTCCCGGGGGCGCCCAGGGCTGCGCCAGGTGGTGGCTTCTTGGCGTGCTTGAAGGCAGCGCGTGGCGGAGAGCATGGCATGGGCGAACAGGCAGCCGCCTCGCATTCAGTTCAAAAAGTCCTTGCCTCTTTGAGGAAGGGTCTGGCAGGCAGAGGATTTTGCCTTAATCCATTGCTTTTATGTCAGCCTACCCACAATGATGCTAAACGTGAGGTGTACCTATCAGAAATGGTTAATGAGACATACAGCCTGTTGGGTGATAGTGAGAGAGTGAGTGAGAAAATGGCATTTAGCAGAGATAAGATAGTCCAGCAGTCCCGGAATAAAATAATTCAGACTCAGAGTCCATGTGTGATTAAAATATAAAGTTTTTACTAAATTCTAGCATGGGAAGGGTGTTGGGGTTTTGAAAAATAGAACTTGTAATTCAGCAGAGATAAAACAGTTTAGCAATGCCAGAGTAAAATAATTCAGACCCAGAGTTCATGTGTGATTAAAATAGAACATTTTTACTACATTCTAGCATAAGGAAAGGGTAACTGGGATGAAAATAACAAAAGAGCATAGTCGGCTACATCCTTACTCTACAAAGACAAAACTAGAAGAGAGAGAGAGTATGGCTGCTCTCCTTCTTCTTCAGAACACCAAACAAAGGTGGGAAGAGAAGCCATAAAGTGCTAAAACACTTTGACACTTTGCTTCCAATGAAACTCCTAGATCAGGAAGAATTTTCCCGGGCTCCTAGCATCTAACAAGCATTGGCTAAATGAAACACATGTGACTTCCTGTGAGCAACACAAACAAACATTTAATCCCATATATACTGAGTATTTTTAACATGTAATACCCAACAAAGGGTAACTGGGATGAAAATAACAAAAGAGCATAGTCGGCTACATCCTTACTCTACAAAGACAAAACTAGAAGAGAGAGAGAGTATGGCTGCTCTCCTTCTTCTTCAGAACACCAAACAAAGGTGGGAAGAGAAGCCATAAAATGCTAATACACCTTGACACTTTAGTACCAATCAAATCCCTAGATCAGGGAGAAAAGTCCTGGGCTTTCTACATCTAAAGAACATTGGTTAGATGAGAAACATGTGACTTCCTGTGAGTAACACAAACAAACATTTAACCCCCGATATACTGAGTGTTTTCAACGTGTAATACCCAACACAGCCTTATTCATTCATTTACTTATTTCATTTATAGTCATCCTTTCTTGTGGAGGCCCAAAACAGATCACACAGTTAAAAAACTGCAACAAGATCAGTACATAACAATGTGCCCAGGGAAATGCTGATCACCATGTTGGGGTCCAGGAGGTTTTTTGTCTCCTTCTGGGCAAGGAGCAGGGGTCACTGGGTGTGTGTGTGTGGGGGGGGGAGGCATTTGTGAATTTCCTGCATTTTGTGCAGGGGGTTGGCTGAGATGACCCTGGAGGTCCCTTCCAGGGTTCCCTCTAAGCTGAGTTAGTGTGAGCTAGCTCACAGTTTTTTAGCCTCCGGCTCAGACATGTTTGTCTTAGCTCAGGGAGGAGGGCTCTACAGCAAAATAATGTATGCAGTAGCTAAATCACCCGCTCACAACTTTAATGCCAGGAGCTCGCAATGCAGAATTTTTGCTCACAGGACTCCACAGCTTAGAGGGAGCATTGGTCCCTTCCAACTCTGATTCTAATGCAACAGAATGGCATTACAGCATTAGAGAATAACAAGGGAGGGCCAGTGAGACACATGGGGGGAATCCCATATCACCCCCCCCATTAATGAGCCGTTGAGGCTCCAGGCCCCACAACTTGCTCTGAGCCTGTCAACCGGCCTCTCTGCTGCTGTCCCCCCCGCCACTGCCCCCCCCCCCCCCGCGGTTCCCCATGTCCGCAGCTGCCACAGCCGGCTGGAACAGTGACCCAAATTGTATTTTAAATTTAAAAAAAAATATTTAAGATTTTCCTGCAAACTTGGGGAGTGTCCCTAGTATGCAGAAAAATCTTTTTAGCCCCTGTGTGGCACTGATCCACAGATTTAGCTATCCATAGATGGGGGCCCACAGGTGGCTATTAGAGTATGAGATGTACTGAAAGCCTAAAATTTATACTTCGATGAAAGCAACAAAAACTGCCTCAAAATCCTCAGGCACTGACTGTAACCAGTGTTCCCTCTAAGCTGAGTTAGTGTGAGCTAGCTCAGTTTTTTAGCCCCCGGCTCACACATTTCTGTCTCAGCTCAGGATGGATGGCTCCAGAGCAGACTAGTTCATGCAGCAGCCAAATCGCTTGCTCACAACTTAAATGCTGGCAGCTCACAAAGTAGAATTTTTGCTCACAAGACTCCACAGCTTAGAGGGGGCACTGACTGTAACCCTCTTCCACTTATAAATGAGCCCTCCAGAACTATTCTGTTCCCGGTCAGAATCTTACCCAGTTACCTTTTCTCACAACAAACACAGTCAAAACATGCAAAATATGAACAACTACAACTTTTCAGTGAAATAACCCTCCCTACACCAAATAGAAAAAAGCAAACTCAAAATGAAGCATGAAAACTGCAAATGTTTTCCAGTCATTATTTGGGAGGGTCCCTGACGCAGTGGCAGAGCGCCTGTCCTGCAGGCAGAAGTTCCAGGGTTGAGTCCCCCCCCCCCAGCAGCATCTCCAGTGAGCAGATGAAGTGAAAGACGTCATCCTGTGACCTTGGAGAGCAGTGGCCAGCCCAAGTAGACAATGTTGGCCTCGATAGATCAGGAGTCTGATTCAGCAGAAGGCAGTTTTGTGTGTTCAGTGCAAGTACATTACAACATTTGGCCCTGGGAAATCTGAAATCCATGGAGAATACCCAGGGAAGACAAGCCACCCTGTCAAAGGCCTCTCTCACCACGACAGTCCCCACCTTGGGGGCGTCCTTCTCTACTTAACATCGCCAGCTACACAGCTCTCTAGTACAGGTGACCATGCTGCCAGGTGGAAAGCGGGGAGACATCTGGATCCACGGAAGAGCTACCAGGCATGTGGCAGGAGAGATGCACCCCAAGTCCTTAGTCATACGGATGATTATGCAAGGACACGGTGGGCCACCCCACCCCCGCGTTCCCCCCCCCACGCCACTGTGCCACCCCAGGAATCACCGTCTTCTCTCTCTTTTTGGAGCAGCACCGGAGAGACCCACAAGATCTCCGGACGATAAGCTTCTGGCAAGGGTCAGAGCTCCCTTGGCCAGAGACCCCAGAGGCAGAGGCTCCGCCAGGGCCCTCCTGCTGCTCCGGGGGGGGGGATTCTCTGAGCAGGCGGGGCTGCTGTGAACCTGTGTCACCTCCCTCGAGGAGTCAGGGCACACCCTTGTCCTCCTGTGCACATGACGGTGATGACCTTTCCTGGGCGGGGTGCCCAGAAACTGCCTGGCTGCCGCTGAAGGGCATGGCGGTGAGGCTGGCTCCTGGCCCCCCGGGGAGCAAGAGCGGTGGTTGTCCTCACAGGCCGGAGAGGCGCTGAGTGGAGGAGAAGCTTTTTCCCTGGAGGCTCTGGAGGGCAGCGCCCACCACCTTGCTCCTGGCGTCCCGCGGAGGGAGGCTCTCCCGGCAAGGAAGCACAAAGCAGAGTGGAGTTTCTGGTCCGTCCGGTTCCTGAGGTGATTGCACCTGCCGTGGCCCCGCATCCGGGAGCGAGCAGACCTGCCTGGCACGACAGAGTCTCTTCCACGGCCAGCAAGACGGGCCGCCAGCCCTTGGGGGGGGGGGGGGAGGAGGAAGCTCCCTGCCACTCACTGTGAGCTCTGTGTGCGTGGGGGGAGGGGGCTGCAGTGACCCCTCAGCACTGGGCCAGTGAAGAGGCCATGGAAGCGGGGCTGTGGCCGGTAAGTCCCTGAAGTGATGCTGAATTATGAAGAATGAGGGTGGGTGGGTGGGTGTGGTTGACGAATCAATTTGGGTGGGAAGCGGCCTTTGCCCCAGAAGTTCAGATGGTGTGTGTGTGTGTGAGAGCCTGGCCCTGGGAGCCAAAGGCAGGAAGAGGCACCGGGGCCCTGGAGCTGGCCAGCCGCTGGCGCCTGTTTGAAGGGCTGTTCTTGGGAAGTCAAGGCTGGGTGAAAGAAGCCTTCCTCGGGAGAGTCAGGAGTCTGCCCAAGACTCCCAGGGGCCTGGTGGCGCAGCGGGGTGTGTGTGTGTCCCATCGAGGGTAAGTCTGCCCACTTCAGGGCCCTTCCCTGGGGGAGGCCAGCGGTCTGCCAGGGGGCATCCTGGACCTGCAGAGGTGCCACAGCAGAGGAACCCCCTCCCCGAGTTTAACCGCAAATGGCCTGCCTTCCCCACTGCCCGCTGCCTCTCCTCTTGCCGGGGGTGGGGTGGGGTGGGGAGCAACTCTGACCTCCAGGGGAAGTGGCCAGCCCAGGAGGCCAAAGTGCTGCCCGCACGCTGGGTCATCCTCTCCTTCCGCAATAAGCAGGGCTGTCCTGGCTTCACCCGGTCCCGAGTACTGGGACTCTCGGGTCAGGCCCGGAACACTCTGTAGGGGGGCTGGGGCTGCCAGCTTGGACACCGAAAGCAGAGCAGCGGCAGGGCCTGGGCAGGCGTGCTGCATCGGACTGTCTGCACCGCCACACGCGTGACACCTGCGATCGATCGAGGAGACCCTCGGGGAGGGGGTTCCTCCCCCAACTCCCCCCTCCTGCCAGTGAGGTGGAAGAGGGGCCAGATCCAGATAACTCCTCCTCGTCCTCTCACTACTACTCTGACCATGGGGACCCCCACACACACATGTGTGGGAAGCCACTGTGTTGTGGTGCAGGTGTGTTTGTGCACTAGTGCACACACTTGCATCCACGTGCCGACACCACACACCGCTTGGTGGCTGGAGTTAGGCCCTTCTTGAGCTAGGATTTTTTTGGGGGGGGGGGGCGGCGCACCCCGTATCTTTTAAGGGAGGGAGGGAGGGAGACATTTGCAGTCTATTATTTTATTCTATTCTGGTTTTAATTGTCTTTTAACTATTGTTGTAAGCTGCCTTGAACCACAAGGATAGGTGGGGTATAAATGGTTTAACAAATTACATTCTAAAAAATACCTTTGCCCAACTGGTCCCCTCATCCCAGGCACAGAAGGACTGAGAGAGCGTGGCATCTCTCCCTCTGGAGGCCAAGCCGAGGTCTGGGGAGGCCCAGGAGGTGGGCCCCAGGAAGGCCTGGATGTTTCACGGGCAGCCTGACTGGGGTCTTTGCTAACTGGATTCTTCCGGAGCTTCCGCAGAGCTTCCTTGCCTGTTTCTTCCTGTGCTGGTGTTCTAGGTGGCTTACCGGATGTTTCTCAAACCTCCTTTGTGTTCTCCTGTGCTATACTGGTTCAAAGGTGTATTTTGACTCCTTTCTGGAAGGCCTGCTTGGTGTGAAAGGGTTCCACCCACTACAGCACCTCTTTGCGTGGAGAAGGAGTTGGCTGGGTCTGGTTTTTAAAAAGAGAGCCTTGCTGCTGGTGAGGGTGGCCCAAGACCCGGCATTTCCCTGGTGGGCAGGCCTGTGAGGAGCTCCTCTTCAGCAGCTGGTGGCAGCACTGAGGCCTTTGGGGAGGAGCCATGGGCCCCACCAGAGCTCTGGACAAGCGGATTTTTCATTAAAAGTTGCTGTGACGGGGTGGGGGGTGGGGTGGTGGTGTTGCATTTCCCCAGGTGGCACGGTCTCTGTCTGCAGGCCACAGAAAGCGGCCATCCACTTCCTGGGGCAATCCAGGGCTGCCTGACAGACTTGGGCTATTTGCCCCGGCCTGAGCTTCCCTGAAGAGCCAGGGGGGCTCCCTTCTTCAGTGCAGCAAACAGCCGCCGGCGGGGGTGCCTTTGATCAGCATGACTCCCCCGAGGAAAGGGCTCCGCTCCTTTCACCATTGGGCACCCAAAGACCAGGGAACCACAGAGCCGGAGAGCTGTAAGGAAGGAGGTTGTCTAGGCCAGGGCTGGGCCCTCTGGTCCAACCTCCTGCTCCAAAGCTAGAGCCAGGCGGAAAGGCAGGGTCCACAGGAGGGCTCCTTTTCTCAGCTCAAACCTCTCCTCCCCTCAGGTCTGCCTACTGGAGCGGGGGCGGCAGAGCCCCAGTCATGGCCCTCTTCCCTGGGGCAGCCCTTCAGGGACGGGGACTGGGCCCCACCCCTCCGCTTTCTGCTCCCCAGCCTCAGCATCTCCCAGTCCTTCGGGCCCTCCTCCTCCTCCTCGTGGGGCTTGTTCCCCAGAGATCCCTGACCGCCTCTAGGGTGCTTTTCTGCTCTGTCATCTGCATCCTTCTTAGAGGGCCACGGCCAGAACCGGACCGTGGGCTTCAGCTGAGATCCCACGGGGCGTGCTGTGGAACTAGGACTTCTCAGGAGCAGCATACCACACCCCTTCTCTATTACCATGTAACTGTTAGTGCAGATTAGGACTGCTACGGCCTTTTTTTGCAGCTGCATCACACTGCTGGGTCACATCCAAGGTGTGACTGACGGCAACCCCAAGAGCCTGCTCACGTGCCCGGCTTTTCAAGGCAGATGTCCCCCCCGCCCCACACCTATGCATTTCACTCTTTTTGCCTAAATGCAGAACTTTGCATTTGTCTCTATCTGTTGAATTTCATTTTAAGCACATAAGAAAAGTCCTGCTGGATCCGACCAGTGAGGGCCCATCCGGTTCAGCGTCCCGTCTCACACAACAGCCAACCAGTGGCCCTGGAGGGTCAACAGCAAGGCATAAAGGCCAAGAGCTTCCCTTGCTCTCCTCCACCTGGCTAGCAATTAACCCATCGATGAACTCATCTTCCACGAATTAAGAACCGGAAAGGTTAAATGGATACAAATTAGGGGGCCCAATGTTAAAAGTCAATAAATGTACAACACAAATATTACAAATTATCAAAATACATGTATTTATTACAAATTAGTTTAAAAACAATTCTAGGCCCCAATATAGCCTCAATTGAAATTACAAATCATATATCTCACATCTGGTACTTTGCACCACACACTAATTGTCACACTGGCTCCATATTCGCTTTTGGAAATGGATTTTCTGGACCAAATCGGGAGGGTACACAACTGAAATACCATTTTGGTTATATGTACCTGACTTGGACACAAGGTGATACCACATGAGACTTATATATTACACCTTTGCCTTGCATCACTGCTATTTGCCAAACACAATTTCCACTTGGTCCTATATGGATTAATAGTAGTATTGCAATAGTTGAGTCTATATGTAACATTTATGCTTGACCACTGAGTTAAGAAGAAGAAGAAGAAGAGATTGGATTTATACCCCACCCTTTACTTGGAGTCTCAGAGCGGCTTACAAACTCCTTTCCCTTCCCCTCCCCACAACAGACACCCTGTGAGGTGGGTGGGGCTGAGAGAACTCTGACACAAACTGCTCTTTTTCAAGGACAGCTGTGCCAGAGCTTGTGACTGACCCAAGGTCACATCGGCAGGTGCAAGTGGAGGAGTGGGGAATCAAACCCGGTTCTCCCAGATTAGAGTCCGCACACTTAACCACTACACCAAACTGGCTCTCCAAGAGTCCAGTCTGCTCTGATGGACTCAGTACCAATGAAAGAGAGCTTCCTCTTGGATCCCCTGAGTTTTATCACCTCTCTTTTCCCCACCCACTGACCAGGTCAGGCTGGGTCAGAGAAGCTTTTCCTAGAGATACTTCAGGAATTCCTTCCTGAAGTCTCTCAAGTATTTAACACTTCCAAGTCTCTGTTCCCTGCTTGAACAGGGGCAGGGGAGAGCTTGACCTTGTCTAGACCTCTTAGCATTTGTATGAAGGTGGGCTAAGTCTGGAAAGCAGTTGAACTGATTTCCTCCATTCTTGCCTGTTCTCTGCCCAGAGAGGGGGGGGGGGACTTTTAAAATTTAAAGTGAAGGTTTTGCTCATTTCAAACCTCCAAAGAAAAAATGCATTTCTTTACACGGTCTTAACCCCCTTTTAAAGCAATCTATGCTAATAGCCGACACGGGCAGTGAATTCCACAATATAATTACTCACTGAGTAAGAAGGTATTTCCTTTTGTCCTTCCGGAATATATTGCCCATCAACTGCATAGGATGCCCTTGAGACCTGGGACAGGGTGAAAATGTTATTCCTACCAACTTTCTCTACCCCATGCATAATTTTATAAACCTCTATCGTCTCCCCCCATCATCTTTTTTCTAAACGGAAAAGTCCCAGAATCTCCATCCTTTCCTCATAGGGAAGGTGCTCCAACCCTCTGATCCTCTTGGTTGCCCCTCCTCTTCTCTGCCCTTTCCCCCAGCTCTGCGATGGCCATTTCATGTTACGGCCACCAGAACTGCACACAGTGTTCCAAGCAGGGCTACGCCATAACTTTATATAAGGCATTATATTATTGGTCATTTTATTTTCAGTCCTTTCCCTAAAAATCCCCAGAGTGGAGTTTGGCTTTTAGCAGCTTCTGCATACTAAGCCAACATTTTCAAGACCTCTTTCTCTCACTGTCTCTGCCAGTTCAGGTGCCATCAGGATCTACTTATAATCAGGCTTTTGTTAGTTTCAGTCCAGCTTTCTTCCTTACCAGGGTCATTTTGCACCAAGCATTTGGGGGTGGGTCTCTGTGTCTCAATGGCAGAGCCTCTGCTTGGCCTGCAGAAGGTCACAGGTTCAGTCCCTGGCAGGCAGCATCGCCAGTGTTAACGGCACTCGGTAGCAGATGAAGTAAAGGGCCTGGACTCAGAACCCTGAAGAGCCCCTGACAGTTAGAGTAGACAATACTGACCTTGGTGGACCAAGGGTCTGATTCACAGCAAGGCCGCTTCCTGTGTTCAAGCATGGTCTTATCTAGTCCACATCCTAATTCTCACAGTAGCCAACTGTAGGCTTCTGGGCATGAGGACAAAAATCCACCCTCCTTGTTGTTGACCCACCCCCACCCCCACCCGACGGCATTCCAAGAACGACGACTGCCCCTGAGCATGGAGGTTCCATTCACCCATCAGAATTAACAGCAGCCAAATCCTCAGAGGTCTGTTCTCCACCGATCTCTCGCATCCTCTTTTAGAGACCGATTCAAATCCAGCAGCACCTTAGAGACCAGCCAGCTTCGGGGCAGGGATGGAGGGGGATGACCTTCTGAGAGACACACCCCCCCCCCCGGCCCCATTCGTCAGGCCTATTTCCGGGTGCTCCTGGGCTCAAATACAGCGGCTCTCCATCAGAGCGACCCTCTGAAACCACCTGTCGGAGAGGCAGCCCAGTCACTCTCCCCAGACGTGGGGGTGGGGGTGATGGGTTCCACAAGCGACTTATGCTCTGTGTGTGAAGAAGGACTTCCTGTTGCCTGTCCTGGATTCTTCCGTCCATCACTTTCATTTGGTGCTGGCAAAAGGTCACACTTTAGGGAAGGAGGACAAAGTCCTCCCACCCACTATTCCGTGGATCTCCGTCGTGTTCGCACCCCTTTTTTTGTAAAGGGAAAAGCCCCAAACTCTGTAGCTTTTCCTCTTGGTTGCTTTTGTTTCCTCCTCAGCACCTTTCCTTTTTGGGGCCACTGGAACTGTTTGGACACAGTATTCCAAGTCCTCCTCCAGCACCATTGCGCCAATCCAGTGTGGTACTTTGATGCAAGAATAACATGGTTGGGAAATCTCCCACGTCACTCAGCCTCTGGATTGCGCTCTTCCCCCGCTCCCTTCCTCCCCCTCTCGTTTCCACACCTTAGCCAGGAATCTGAAACAGCTTCCCAAGGCAGGCAGGCGCTCAGGTGAACTCTGGCACCAACTGGCATGCACAGGATGGAATTCTGCTCTGCTGCCTTCCTACGGCAGAGAAGTGAGTCAGCAACGGCCACCCGAGATGCTCAGCGGCCTTCCACGGCCCAGGGAGACCCTCCTGTGTCCGGCAAGGCCGGGGCCTGGCCCCCAAGGCCTCCTCCTGGTGGGGCGGCTGGGCACTGCGGACTGCACCAGTGAGGGCATGTGCAGGAGAGCTGGGGGGGGGCACCAGAGGGCTCACGGCTCCTTGCCCTCCGTCCGAAGCCCCTCCCCCAGTTCGTCCTCTGGCAGCTGGCCTCCAGGCCGCAGGACCCCTCCTTTGGCACTTCTGATGGGAGGCACCTCCGCCCGGCTGGGCATCTCCAGGGCTCGGCTGGAGTGGGGCACCCAGCGCCACTCGGTTTCTCAAGCAGGGGGCTGGCGACGGGGTCACGCGTGGATGGGGAACCAGGCAGCCTTACTGAAGGGAGCCCCCCGAAAGCAGTTTAGTGACACACACCCCCCCGAGGGCTACCCATGACCAGGCAGGCTGGGCCTTGCCGACATGCACTGCGCCCTTCCCCTCTCTCCCTCGAGCAGCCTGGGTGCTTCAGGGGCCAAGCACTCTGCACGTGTGTCTGTCCCCCTGGGCCTTCCTCAGTGCTCTCGGTCAGGCCTTTCTGGCTGGCTGGCTGCTGCTGGTGTCTTCAGAGAGCGCGCCAGCCTCCTGGAGTAGCAGAGAAGAGCCAGAGAGTCCGGGAGCACCTGAAAGACTCAGGGGAGGAGCTTTCCCGGGTCACGGCTCAACTTCTTCGGTATCCAAACGAGGGAGCCGTGACTCACGGAAGCTCCTCCCCCACCACATGTTTTGGGAGTCTCTCTCTCAGGCGCTCCTGCCACGGACAGACCAGCACAGCCGCCACTGTGAGCCTTCCTGAGCCCTGGCCTTCTTTCTCCACAGGGAAGCCCTCCCTCCCGGCACTGTGACCTGCACCCCGGCCTCCACATCCCACCAGCCTTCCAACCAAGACCCTCCTTGGAGGCCGTCCAAGGAGTCGCCTTCAGGCCGCACGCTCCAGATTCCGGACGGGATCCTCCGCCTTCGGTGGCTCGTGGGACCTCAAGTAAGGCCTGGCGGAGGTGGACTTGGGCCACTGCCGAGGATGACCTGCGGGGCGGAGTAGACCAGGCCCCCTCCGCCGGGGGCTGGAGTAACCAGAAAGCATCCCTGTCTCCCAGGGGGCTTTGAGGCTCAGGATTCAGGCCCTTCCTCCTCCTCCTCCCCCCAGAGCCCTTTGCTGAGCTGTGAGACCCGACCTCAGGGCCCCAGTCCATGGCCCCGTTTAGAGTGCTGTGGGGCGCAGGTGTGCGGAGCGGCAGTGAAGGCTGGCCTCCTGACTGCTGCCTCTTGGAGTCCCCCCCCCCCCCCCTGGCCCTTGTCCGGCAGGGGCACCCCCCACCGTCTGCCACCCAGCCCCTCTCCAGTGACCCCCCCTCTTCTGCTTCCTCCCCCCCCCCAGCGGCCTCCTCAGCCACCACCTTCAAGGCGTCTTGGGGGATGGGCCAAAAGAGAGTGGCCCTGATCCTCTGCCTCCTGGTCCTCATCGTCCTGATCTTGGCCCTCATCCTGCTGTGTAAGTTTCTCGGTCGGCTTCTTCCTTGCAGGCAAGCTGAGCATCGTGGGGGTGGCGGGGGGGGGGATCTGGTTCCTGGTTCTCCCCCTTGGATCTGCTGGCCCTGCGCCTGGGACTTCACACAGACACCCACACACGCACCCCCCGTGCCGCCACGAAGCCCCTTCATGTGCCTGCGTGTGGGGCAAGGAGCAGCCCCCTGCCTCCCCTTTCTCAGGGGCTCCGCCAGCCTGGAAAGCCCCTGAAAGCCAGAATGAGGACATGTACAAAGGCTTCATCTGCCGTAGGCGCACACAGAGAAGCACACAAGAAAACCTCATGGGGCGGAAACGACAGAATACAGGAATCCAAAGCACCACGAGCACAGGCGGCTTTCTGGGAGGGCCCCGCTGAGGGCTGCTGGCCTCCGTGCCCAACAAGCGCAGTCAGCCAGCCAGCCAGCCAGCAGCTGAGAGCAAATGCTAGGGGGAAACAGGGGGGGGGGACGACAGAAGGGTGGCTCCCGGGGGAGGCTGAGTACCTTCCTGAAAATTTCGGCGGGGGCTCACGCCCCGCCGCCCCCACGAAGATTACGCCTATGGCCGCGCGGGGCCAGTTCTCTTCGCTGGATGCCAAGATCCACCCAGAGGAGGGCTGAGGCAGGAAAGCCTCTGCGGGAAGCGTCTCCGGGCCTGTGTAGCCAAGCAAAGTACTCTGCCCGCATCTTTTGATCCGGGTGTTTTAGGCGAGACAGCGGGGGACCCTTTTCTTTGGCGGGCCCCGCGGCTTCCGAAGCTTGCCTGCCTGCCTGCCCCCTGGCGGCCACTGCAAAGCCCGCCGCTGTCGACTCTGGAGGGGGCGCGCCTGCCCCGGCGGCGTCTTCCCCCGGGCAGTCCGGGAGCCTCTGCCTGGAGGTTTCCCGGGGAGTCCCCGTCCGGCGTTGCCAGAGACCTCTCCCCGCCCCCCGCCTCCGGCTTCTCACGGCGCCCCTCTAACTGCTCTCCACCCCACCCCCGCCCCCGCAGTCTTGTTCTGGAGGTCGAGCACGGGCATCGTGTACAAGGAGCCGGAGGAGAGCTGCAGGGGCCAGGCGGTGCGCTGCGACGGCATCGACGACTGTTCCCAGCGGAGCGACGAACTGGACTGCGGTAGGGGCGGCCGGCGGGGGGCAAGAGTGTGTGCCTGTCTGGGGGGGCGGCGGCGGCTAGAGACCTCGGGCCAGGCTGCAGCAGGGCCCCGCCCCTCCCCCTCCCGCTCC